AGGAAGGCTACGCAAAAATTGCTCAAAAGATTTCATTCAAACCTGGATTACGAATTACGCGCTAGCTAGCAAGCATCTTTGAATTAATTGCTTTCAAGCCCCATTATGTGTTCATTTTTCCATCATCAGTCTTTGGTTGAAGAGAGCTTTATCCAAGTATTACAGTCCGAGGCTCCTTCACCGATAAGCTCAAGCAGGTCAAGTATTAGTGAAACTTTGACAACAAAGGTATATCAATGCGCTGAACAATCGAGTATGACTTCCATTTTGGCACGGGCATCATCAGGTTTCAATTTTGCCCTTGCTGAGCCAAAATGGCGTTGAAAACTACCCCCACCAGAAACGAATATCGTTTTCCTGACCAGAGAACCTGTATACCTCCTACCATTCAAAGGGAATTCGGTGATAACAGGCGTTGCGCCGAGTTCGTGCAAAGTCGCTCAAGATACCGCGGATGTGAGGAGTAAGTTTCTTCATGGACGTTTCGATTTACTCCTGCAGGTAGAGTTTCGAAAGATAAAATAATGAGAGCATGGGTAGCAATGTGGAGAAATGTATTGTAGCATTGTTTGGATATTTAGGGACCACTGTGGAATAAAAACCTCGTACCAATCTCTACAATTCAAAAATGCCACACCTCCTTGCGTTTGCTGCATTTACACTTCATTTCATTAGCATCTTTCGAGGTGTGTCTCAGGAACATTGCAAACTTTGGCGATTTCTCCTGCTCCTTGAGCTGATTCAGCAATCAGTGCCTTACCAAGTCATTTCTTCCAACAAATTGAAAGAGTGGAACAAGAATGAATGACTGATCTTTGCGCCATTCAAAGGGCGCTCCAATGCATGCCGCAGCGCGCACCAGTGCTAACGCGGATTACGGTAACATCGATTCCGCGGCCTCTCTTATCTGTCTTGTCATGAAATGCGCTAATCATAACAATCCATAGCCACTCACGCAACGAAATCGGTGGAAGGCATTTAAATGGCGTCTTTGGCGCCAAGCCGCAACGCGTCCGCGCGCAAGGGCTCTAGACCATGATTCGCTTAAGCGTGCTCCCAGCCGGTGTCTACCGTCCGTTTGCACTATACGAACGAGGGAGCCGCATTTTGATCATGGGCCGAGGGAGTGGGTCGCAATCAGGGTCAACCCTGCGTTGCGCAAATTCCAAATTTTTTGCGACCCCCTCCATTTCAAGGGGTGTCAGTGCGACCCCCCCCCTATTGGACATGTGTGTTTTTTAGTGTTACGGTGTATTTCTGTGTGTATCAACGTCTTTGTCCAATAAAGTTGAAGTGTGTACATTACTTCTTCTCTTTATTCCTGAAGAAAACCCGAAAATAACACAAACGAGACGAACGAACAAAAGAGATCATTGTTCCATGCATCACCATGTGATGCACTGCTATGTGTTAACACATTCGGCGACCAAGCAGTTTTGGGTATTCCCAAAAATCGCCAATGTTTTAAAGCTCGATCATTATGAGGTTGGAGTTGAAATCCGGCTGAAGTGAGGCTTGGTTAACATTCTGTCGATCCCTCGAGTCTCGGTCCCTCGAAAATCTTCTCTTCATATATCTGAAAAGAAATGATAAGCGATGGTCAAGGGAAAAGAAAGTAAGGAGAACTCACAAGAAGAAAAATATTGACTGCAACAAATATCAAAAATGCCACCATAAATAATTGCCCGAGGAGTGAAGCCACGAATATCATTAGAAATAGATCCATCTTGTCGTCATTGCTAGCCATACGCGCCATGGCTGCTAATACAGATGCTGTGATATCCGGCAGGGCCATCTAAATATCGGCTATAAGTTTGCTTGTGGGGAGAAGATGAACCTCTTGGAATAGAAGATGAACCTCTTGGAAGCTCACCGCAATAAAATGTCCGGACGTGGAAAAGGAGGCGCAAAGGAGGCGGATACGAAACCCTGCCAAAAAACAGTCAACATTAAGCTAAAATCGCGCAAAACTCTGTAGTATAGGTATAATGTAATTAGTATACTACTAATTCAATACCCTACAAAAGAAAACAATACTTTAGTTCGTCATAGATCTCGCCTAATTTGAATAATACATACGAACCACACACGTCGAATATGACTATGAAATTGTACTCCATAAAAAGCTAAGTAGACAAGTGCCAGAATTGGAGGAAACAGGAAACAAGTAGAGCGATAACGAAAGATTGTGTGGCAGTATGTAGATTTACTATACAAATAAGCTCCTCTCTATAGCAAAATTTGACATATTTTGGAAGGAAAGTTTATGAACAAATCATGAAGTGTACAAAAACTTCTTAGATTACAATATCGCCTTATCATTTATCTCGTGTGTCTGACGACAAAGTAATTCGCTAAACGTTGAGACTAACACATATGCTCAACCCTGATAAGCTTATAGGAAGCAAAATAAACAGCCAAACAAGAACAAAGGCAGCAAATATTACCGGGTTGAACGAATAGAAGATCCTACTTATGACTTTTCACTGAGAATAGAGAGATGTTGAAGGCTTTGATTGCGACAAGGAGTTTGAAGCTTAATAGCCATGGATTTGATTATGAACGAGGAATTGGTAACCAGAAGTGGACCGCTAACTAGCAGTGAAGAGGGAGGTAGGTTATTTTTGCAGAGATGGATGGTAGAGCTTCTGGAGAACCTGGAAGAGGAATGGTTGATGGACGTTTGATGAGACGACTGTAAACTTCTGCATAGGGGTTATTTGGAGCCCTGATCATGAATATGACACTCATTTTGATTTTGAGTATCATATCCGTGATGAGGACAGAAGCGTTCCGTAAAAGATGTTATACCCTTATGCAGATGTCTATACAACAATATGAACCCACAAAATGCAAGCACAAGCGACACTATTAAACCCTCGTTCACCGATAATTCGTAAAACACCATTTGTGTGGCATCGCCCGGAATCGTGTAAGTCACAAAACGTTTTCAATAATGAGACAGAATTAGTGATTCACCGCATTTATCAATACAATGGATGTGAGCGCGGGCACGTAAGGTATCAGAAGCCAATGCAGGTGTTCCACCAGGATGTTTCCTGTCCAACATTTCATTCGTTTCTTAAGGACCACATCATCTAATTCCAATGCAAAACAAGTGCGAAATCATATGCAAACTTAATGTTGCAGAAAAACGAGTGTTTCATTATTCATTCCAGTTGGAAACTCACTTGACTGTCAATATGAACTGTCTGGAAATGACGTGTCTTTCCAGGGGTAGCCGATACAGAAACCTTCTTGTCACCAGCAATTCTGTTTATTGTTGAGCTCTTGCCGACATTCGGATAGCCAACCATTCCGACAACAACAGGTTTACAACCTGGAGCGTCGATGACATGACCCAAGTCTTTCAAATGTTGTATGAGCTGATCACGACTGCGCAAGAACAGAACTCCGTCCATGGAGGATGAAGCCGTGGATGGCGCAGAGCAACATTCCTCCTCGGACTCCTCTGGTTCTTCTACCGCTGTCCTAGAAAGCTCAGATAAGTCGCAGAAATTTTTTTTAAATTTACGAATTACCAAAATGCAGCGTTTATATTGTTGTCCACAAAGTACTTCGCCCATCCAGCCATTTGATCTTCCTCCAAAAGATCTGACTTGTTGAGTAAGAGTAACACTTTTTTCGCAGGGTCAACTTCCTTCACATAGGCGTCAAGATCTTTGCTCCAAAACAGGAGTGGGTTTCTGGCATCAACGATCTGAAAAATGCTCTATTCGAAGTTCGGATGATGGTAAAGGGAGTGGAACTGGATCGAATGGCAGGGAATGAATGGTTCAATGGCCGGGTTCACGGAAATATGGTGGTTCTCAAACATCGCTATGAGCCTTTCGCGCGCTTTATTAATAATGAATACTGAGAAATTCTGGAATCCTAACGAACATGTGCGACTGCCAAGGCTAGATAAGCCTTGGCTTCGTGCATCCACTTTGGGTAAGGTGAAAAAGGGAATCCACAATTTGGAAAAATTTCAAAATTCTTAAATGAGAAGGAGAAATCTTTACTTCCATATGAAAAAGAATAAATGGTAAAAGAGAAACCCTTCTTTCATTACATATAGTGTGGTGCATTAGCCAGCAGTAGATGTACTGGCCAAGGCACCACATCATGTGTAAATGTTTTTGCATAAGTAATTGTTCAGAACACTGCAGAAATTATATCATTTTAGTTGCAGAACAGTAAATCAACGGTATCACAAGAATGCTGAGTTATGACCTTACAATCTATGGAATAAACCATCAACCATTCGCCCACCTGCGGCCGTAGTGAGTGGTCGTGTTTTCGATCAATGTCCCAAGCGACCCCCCATCTAGCTGACTCTCAAAGGAACTTGCCAAAGAAACGTAAACCTACATCATCACCTGTACTGTCGACTATTCCAAATTCTGCTACGCTCGATGCTGATGCCTCAGACTTATTGAGGCAAATTCAAGAAATTGTGACAATCAAGGCTCCGGAAGTTCTTCCTTTATTGGAGAAGTTCGTCGGTAAGTTGCAGTCTATTTCACTGGATGCTGTTGAGGCCGAGAAGAAGGAGAGGTCTATGGTAATCTACGGTGTTCCGGAGGCAGGAAGTGAGCTTGCAGCCTCTCTTCGCCAAGAGCACACAGAAAAGGCCGTGACGGACATCCTGGATGAGCTCGACATCGAGGCAAGGCCGGTTGAAATTTACAGAATGGGAAAGATAGGTGATAAACCTAGGTTAATCAAATGTGTATTTGCAGCAAAAAGATTCTTGTTTACCACTCTTTCTCGTGCGAAAAAGTTGCGTTCATCGACTAGGTTCAGCAATATCTACATTAGAAAATCGATGTCGCCCGACGAGAGATCTAAAGACCGCGAGTTGCGAAAACGAGCCCAAGACCTTAACAATGAGGAGCATGACGGTAACAGAGTTTTCGTTGTCTATCGAGGGGAAATCGTGAAGTCCTCAGATATTCCCAACATTAAGCAACAGCAGTCAAAAAACTGAGGATTCATGATTTGTCCCAATGTTGTTGTGCTCTATTCAATGCTCGCAGTCTGGTGAAAAAGTTTCATCATCTCCGTCACTTTCTTGCCCATCATCATCCTGATGTTGTATTTATTTCGGAGTCTTGGCTCAACTCCAAGATTACTGATTCTGAAGTATGTGCGGACGTTCCTTACAGCATAATCAGGAAAGATCGATTGAGAAGGAAAGGCGGAGGTGTTTGCATACTCTTTCACCAGCTCATTCTTTTTAAAAAGGTTGAGTTTAACTCGAATGGACTTCTTTCTGATGTTATTTGTGCTGATGTGGCCTTTCCCTCTGGAATGCATCGTCGGCTCATTCTTGTTTACCGCCCTCCCTCCTCATCTACCTCCCAAGATGACCTTTTGATATCGACGTTGTTTGATCTTTCGTCATCTACGTCATATGAAGTTACAATTGTGGGCGACTTCAACTTGTCTATTGATTGGGAAAACAAATCAGCCATGAACTCAAGTACAGCTAAATTTTCAGAGTTGTTCGATGCACTTTCTCTCTACCAGTATGTTCGACGCCCCACCAGAAAAGAAAATGTTATTGATCTAGTTCTTTCTACCAAAGGCAGCATTTCTGATTTGAACGTTCTCCCACCTTTAGCCTCCTCTGATCATAACATTGTTATGTTCAAGGTTGCTAATACATCGAAATATGTGTCTCCTATATATTATAAGGATTTCAAGAGTTGTGATAGGGAGGCTATTTCGCTTGAGCTTTCCTCATTAGACTGGTTTGAAATTTTTGATGGTTACGAAGATATTGATGACGTTTATGACAGGTTTTGCAGTGTGGTTCACAAGATTATCAATCAATACGTGCCGATCCGTAAGAGAGAATTTGATCGGAGTTCGTTCTACCCGCCCCACATTACAAACTTATTCCAGCAAAAAGCTAGGATTTTCTACAGCACTGAAGATCCGTTAAGCTCTCCAGACTACCTTAATATTTGCAGAAGTCTTGATATACATCTGAAACGATTCATGGATAACAAAATTAGACGTATGTCGGCTTCCAATAACATACGCAACTTGGCTTTATTTGTAAAGAAGTTCACAAAGCATATTACTTCCAACTCTATGATCCTGAGTGAGGACGGTGCAAAATGTTCTGACGATGCATCTAAAGTTGAGGCTTTCGCTAGCTATTTTTCATCGGTCTTCAGGAAGCATGAGAGCAACGGAGCTCACATAGTTTCGATGTGTAGTGATTCTATACCACCCTTATCTGTTACACCCTATATAGTTGCCAAACACCTCCGCTCGCTCAAGCCTTCCCTTTCGCCCACTTCTGATGACATTCCACAGTTCTTCTTCAAGAGTTTTTACTATCAGCTAGCCTGCCCCCTGACTCATATTTTCAATATTTCTTTCTTACTGGGGCAAGTCCCCAAAAAATGGAAGTTAGCGTATGTTACACCTATACCTAAGGTGAGCGGTGCCAATAAAGTCTCTGAGTTTCGACCTATAAGCATTCTTCCTGCCCCGATCAAGGTGTTTGAGAAACTCATCAAAGAGCATTTGCTATCATGGCTCACAGTCAAGAGGCTCATACCGCTCGAACAACACGGTTTTGTTCCAGGGGCATCTACCTGCACTCAATTAATTGACTGCACGTATGACTGGATTTTAGCCCTTAACTCTGGTAGTAATGTTGACGTGGTTTACTATGACCTCACAAAAGCGTTCGATACCGTTTGCCACTCCTCTCTTTTGCTGAAACTTGACAGCATCGGCGTTAGAGGAAGACTTTTGGACTGGTTCAAATCTTATCTTGATGATCGGGAAATGGTTATACGTATATCAGATTCCATTTCACGTCCCAGAAAATGTCCATCAGGAGTCCCGCAAGGGGGCACCCTGTCTCCCATCCTTTTTCTTGTTTATACGAGCGACCTCCTCTCCCATCTCAAAACCCATCCTAGCATAACTGTGGCTGCATATGCAGATGATATCAAAGTCTACGCTGTCTACAGTGCGCATGACAAGGAGGCAGTTCAAGCAGCCATGAACATATCTGTTGAGAGAATGATGGAATGGACTAGGCAATGGGACTTAAGTGTTAATTTTTCTAAGAGTCATTTATTCTCTCTTACAGCGAATTCGCTTTGCGTGAAGTGTGATCAGTTTGGGCTCTTGCCTTCATGTGATGTGATGAAGGACCTAGGGGTGTTCTTTTGCAAAGGACTTAAATGGAATGCTCAGGTCGACAATATTGTAAACAAAGCTATGCGAGTCATTCATTGTCTGTTTAGAAATATTCATTGCTCAGATCTAATTGTGTGGATTAGATTGTTCAAGACGTTCGTACTGCCTCTGATTGAGTATTGCAGCTCGGTTTGGAGCCCTTTTTTGAAGAGAGACGTACAAAAAATTGAAAATGTTCAAAAGACTTTTACAAGGATTCTTTACTATCGAATTTTCCCTAAACCTGATTACCCGCGCTGTCTTCCTGCATACAAAACTCGCTTGGAGGAGCTTAACCTGAAGTCTCTCTTTTATAGAAGAGTGCAGGCAGACCTAGTTCTTGCTTTTAAAATACTCAAAGGGGAGCTGCGCCTGCGTCCATCAAATACTGGGTTTTCCGCCCATACAACGGGAGACGTGGGGCTTACTACACTTCTTCCCTAAGATGGGTTGCTGTAAGCGCGTTATTAGCGAACAAAGTTTTTTTTACAGGACAAATAAGTGGCTCAGCAAACTGCCTAGCACGATGATGGCTTATAAGAGTTCTGCACAGTTCAAAGCTGCTCTGAGGAAAATCGATCTTCTTCAAATGATTGGCGTTGACGATATCTGTTGATAGGTTCAGTACTTAGGCTTCTTTGCAGCTTGAGGTTTTCTCTTTGTCACTGTTTTAGTCTGAGCTTCTATGCTGGTTCTTTTGATATCTTTAGTTACGTTTCTGTTGTTGTTTTGGTTTTTTTTCGGTTCATCATACTACCTCTCAAGGGGATCGCGGTCTTCCATCGAAGTTTAGTGAGATCAGTGATGTACCTATTCCCCTTACGGCCAAAATTACTGAGAGTATGGACTGGAGTTCTATTTTAATCCTTCTTCCACTTTTTTTGAGCACGCTCTCTATGCTTGGGTCTCACAAGGCTTGGAATTGCGCTCTCACCTGGCTTGCCTGGTTCCACGAGGGCTGTCGGTATACTCGTGTCTCGAAGTTCCGGCAAGCTCCTATGACCCCTTTTGTGGCGCTAAGGGCACCATTGCCGACTGGTGCGGGTGTCTGCCGTAATTCCACTCGTGATACTCGGCGTTTCTTCTCCTTTCTGCTATATTACTTTCTAACGATGGATTTACTTTCTAACGATGGATTTTTTTCCACTACGATGGCCGTTATCCACCACATTAGCAGTTTGATGGCGATACTTCGATCCTCTTGTCCCTTTGTTTATTAAGTATTTATTCATTGTTGTAGTATATACCTTCACCTTTTCTACCCAGTGTGTAGGAGCGCGTCATTCTGGCGCATAAATAAAATGAATAAATAAATCTTCAAGACTACGTATGCGTGCACATAAAATGTCGAACTTGGACACTAGACAATTGGACGCTCGAGTGTTGACCAAAAAGTGCGCTATCCCTGATTTTTAGATTGGAAGATTTTCAAAATTACAAAGTCTGGGGCAAGAATCTTGCCGACCTCTGCTGTAGTGAATACAAAATTTCTAGACGGAGCGTGCATTCTGGGTG